AGTAATATTTACACTATCCGTCACTAATTCTGAACTGATATTCTGGATGTAAGACAGTCAGTTGACAGTAATATTTACACTATCCGTCACTAATTCTGAACTGATATTCTGGATGTAAGACAGTCAGTTGACAGTAATATTTACACTATCCGTCACTAATTCTGAACTGATATTCTGGATGTAAGACAGTCAGCTGACAGTAATATTTACACTATCCGTCACTAATTCTGAACTGATACTTTGGATGTAAGACAGTCAGTTGACAGTAATATTTACACTATCCGTCACTAATTCTGAACTGATACTTTGGATGTAAGACAGTCAGTTGACAGTAATATTTACACTATCCGTCACTAATTCTGAACTGATATTCTGGATGTAAGACAGTCAGTTGACAGTAATATTTACACTATCCATCACTAATTCTGAACTGATATTCTGTTCAGTCAGTTGACAGTAATATTTACACTATCCGTCACTAATTCCGAACTGATATTTTGGATGTAAGACAGTCAGTTGACAGTAATATTTACACTATCCGTCACTAATCCTGAACTGATATTCTGTTCAGTCAGTTGACAGTAATCATCGCCAACTCTTTGAACACTCTAATCGAATACATTTCGCTAAGTCCACTTAGCTAATCTTCTCATCCGTAGTCTTATTTCTCTATCATATCTGGGAAATACGAAATTATTACCACGAAAAATTCAAAATATCCGTCTACGCAATCGAGAAACAGTGTTGCGAAATGCAATAATGAAATGATAAGTCTTGAAATACGTAAAAATTGGTGGACTGTGAACAAAAAGCCGGAGATAAATTTTATTACTGTTTATGTTGCTACAACCAGACACTGCATTTTGTTTTACTACTTATCAAGAAGTAGCGAATCAGCCGAAAAAAAAAGTGACAATTGCTAAAGAATTGATTTCTCTGTGTGAAATAATGCATAAACGTTCAAGGATGGCACATTTGCTATCAACGAACTATTACAGAATCGTAGTTGGATTGAATAAAAGCCGTATATACAAGCGCATTTAAACTTGGAAAATTTTTATCAGTAGCTTTATAGTAAAACGTAGTTTGAGCCTGGGTCGGGTGTAGTTGCGATAAGTTAAAGCGGCATGATCTAGGCTTTAAGGACTCCTTTCGCACTTGTTCGAAAGCCACGCCAGAGAATATTACTTTAAAAGATTGAAAAGAACTTTGATGAAGGCCTGTGACATCAAAAGACAACTTATTCCTCATTGATGGAGACCTGATAGTTAATCAATAGCTCCTCCAGCCTGTCAAATGTGGTTGATAACTGGCCCTAATGTCGTCAGATTTGTCGTTCTTGCACAGTTCACTCGGAGACTGATCGTTATGTGGTTTGCCTGCACAACTAGGGAATTTATGACTATTGATTTTAGAGCAACAATGTCTGTTTCTGAAGGCCGCCTATCATTTGACTTGAGCCCCTGATTAGGCCCGCCACCCTCCGCACTATCTCTTCAACTTTCTCAAGCATCACGACTTTTTAGTTGTACTAACTAGACAGAAGAACTGTTCTTCATGCTGTCCTAAGAGTTAGACGAAAGTTCATTTCGAAGCAGGAAAGACTGTGACATTACTCATGATCCCGTATAGTTTGTTCTGTTAAATATAATTTGATGTTAGGCCTCAGGATGTTACATACAGGAAGTTAATAAGAAGCATTTACTGAGACTCGTAGCTCGTGTAACATAACATTTTATTTCAGTAAGTTTAACCATGCAAACTTCAAGACATGTTAAAACGTCATTTTTCATTCGGGACATTTTGGATGGCTCTACAAGTCACTTTCACGCATGCAGCGGTCAGATGTCCAGTAGCAATGTCACCGAGTCAACAAACAAGGGTCCACCATCGAGTTCGAATACCAGCATTTCTTATCTAACCAACAAGATCCAACCTTATCAAGCTTCTGGTGTGAATTTTTCTGGCTTTCTTAATTCGGATTGGCTTCCTAGTTTGAATAAGTCCTTCCACGGCCAGATTGATCATCTAGAGACTCCCACCTATTGCTGTTTAGACGGTCAGTGTTTGTTAGGTAAGTACTTTGACACATATGGGTGTAAAATCTTTTAGATAAATACGATTGGTGAATTCTTGAAACTAGTCATTCCTTTACTAATGAGTAGAACTAGAAATATTAGTGTTTATTACTAAGAGAATGTACAAATTGGATAAGATAAAAGAAACACCTAGAAGAAACTTGCGTGAGGACAACCATTCATCATACAAAACGGCATTTATATCAACAAAATAGACACTAAAGTTAAACTTATTCTATTATTCTTTTAATTAAATATTTAACAGATGTATTTTTCGTTATGTTGTGATGACAGATTATCTGCTTGGCAGTATAATCAAGAAGAAAAGTGAACTTTGTCGGGCGGTTTCTGTCCAAATACAGATGTGCCTGGAAACTCTTCGAACGAAAAGTTTCTATTGTTCCATAGATACATTCACAAAAATATAGTACGAAACTATAAAATATGAAGGAGCTTAAAGACAATAACCAAACTTTTATAAGAATCCCTAGCTCTAATGTTCTACCTAAATGACAAGTTATATATGTTGAAAGAAACATAAGTTGGTTAAATTACCGCATTATGTTTAAAAGATAAACTTTACAAACATGATTTCTTAACGAGAACAGGTTAACACGTTATCTTAATGCTAGAGAAGCAAGAAAGAAATAACATATGATTGGGCATGTAGAGATATATAAGGAAAAAGGATTTAACATACTGTTGAAATATAAGTATTTGCTAAACAAGTTTGTTTCAGTAGCAAACTTATACAGTGAACGATTAGGGAATGTTGCCAATAAACAGCACGCCCAACAAAGTGATTTGTAATTTACTATTGACTTTAGTGAAACTTTTATATCTCGGCTTCTCTGAATGATTTAGGTTCCAAAATGTAAACTTTTCATGAAAAGTTTGAGGTATCGATTGACAAATCGCTTGTTAATGGACTTTCCAAATTGCTTTGTGTAAGCAACAGCCATAAAGAACATTGGAAACACATATATATATTAGAGAAGTTTAAAACTGTCACTTTTCCTCAACTATACAAAGAACACTGACAATACATATATTAGAGAAGTTTAAAACTGTCACCTTTCCTCAACTCTACAAAGAACACCTACAATACATATATTAGAGAAGTTTAAAACTGTCGCTTTCCCTCAACTCTTACAAGAACACTGACAATACATATATTAAAGAAGTTTAAAACTGTCACCTTTCCTCAACTCTACAAAGAACACTGACAATACATATATTAGAGAAGTTTAAAACTGTCACCTTTCCTACTGATTAGTTGATTTTAAATGTCCGCAACACAGAAGTATGTATTGTACTTCTGTGATGAAAAATTAATAATGTTTACTTTCCTTGAGTTAACAGAAGAAACAATGTTTATTGAAAGTATGACATTAAACGTAAAAATAAATGAGGTTATAAATGTTTTTCCCAAAATTTCCTAAATATCAGCTATTTATTTTCAAATATTTTGTATTCCACTACTGCTTCCCTCACACACACACAATGAAAGGGATGACTCATCTTGTGAGTTATACTTGAACTGTATTTTATCTATGAAATAATCCTTTCTGATGCTTTTTGTCAAATATGAGTATCCGTTAACAATTTTATACACTAAATAACTGAACTGTAAATAAATATGAACATTCGAATTGAGTAATTGTACTAAGAGAAGTGGCTAAAAATCATACTTCGTGTGCACTTAAATTTAAAAACATAGTATTTTAAAGTTGATATTTTTCCTTGGTGTTTCAAAGTTTGACAAGGAAAAGGGATGTAACTAATACTTTTATGTATCGAGTTCTTGCTGTATTAAGCGCTGTTAACTCAAAAAATGTAAGGTACTGTAAAGTCTTATTGTGGTTATCTTAACCTTTCCAGTCTTATTCAGTTTCACTGTCTTCTAAGCCTTTATTGCTCTTGTTAAAATAATTTCATTCATCGTCATTCTGCTCCATACTGTTTCCAAAGTGTCAATATTCTTTATTTGGGTTTTAATTTTTGGAAGGAAAAGGTCTTTTTATATTTTGAATAATGAAAATAATGATTTGTTGAATAAATTAAGTGCGGGAACGCTAATTAGCAGCTTTATATTCAACGTTAATTATTAGTTTTATATTCAACGTTTTAGTACTGAAGATGAAGCGTCTGTATATTAGACCTGTAACCTGCCCTCTAAAAAAAGGTGTAATTTCATATCCTTCATCGGAAAGAGTAACGTTACACCTACAGTAAAATTATGAAATATTAAATACTTATATTTTAAAAACCATACTTCATAGAAGTGAGCTTAAGTTTAATTGTAATTGTATACATTTTGAAGAGTAACTAGCTTCTAAAAATATGTTCATAAGATTTATAGCAATTATAGAATTATTTTAATACAAGTGATTATGTTAACAGTTTCTTTATTTTCATGCACCAGGTACATGACTCTAAGTTGGTTCATAAATTCACACCTTTACCCTCACATACATATAGCAGGAGTGTGAACTTTTTCCTGTGAAAATTATACCATTGAGGATATGATTAACAAGAGGAGTATTTGATGGAATCAGTTTAACTTGTTTTTCTCTAATAAACTTCTAGTAATTCTATGAAATAGGAAAATCCTAAAACACTAGTAAAAACTACCTAAAACTACGACAGATTTCGACTGTACCGGCAAATGTTGCTGCAAATGACCAAATTAAGTCTTTAGTAAATACGTTAAACATTTCCCTTCAAAATAAGTCGCACAGACAATGAAACTTATCAATACATTTCATTTTCCAAATGACTAAAAGCTTTTTCAAAATTTACATGTGTGTTTGAAATAAAATATTCTTTACCGTCCAATAGAAATCACATCGACGAATTGGCAAAATGAGTCGTTTTTTTCTTAATGTTCTTTAAACCACCATTTTACTAATCTTTACTCATGAGTTTAAACATTGTTTTAATATAGGAAGGCCACTTATAGGAAAAGCTGATTTCCTAAAACCGCTTTTAGAGTCTAGAGGTCCTAATGGCCATCATGCTCCACAGTTATCCGTCTGGATCTTTTATAAGCCTCTGCTATACCATACAAAGATAAGTCAGTTGCAACCAGTGGTGAAATTCTCCACGAAAGAAGAACTGTAAGATCTAATTAGCTTCACAACTGTCCATTACCTTCTTTGTACGTCATGCTGGAGATGTTTTGATTTTTTCTACTGAATTAACACAGTTCCAAAACAATACACAAGGTCAAAAATAAGTTGTCAACACTTCCAAATTTTTCCAAATGTAATATAGTAGTAAAACATTCAAAAAATCTGGCTGGAATTTTAAAGATAGGAAAAGGTGAATTGAGGGTTAAAAGACATTTAAACAGATGGAAATATCAGAAACATGTTATGTGAAAAAATAAATAAATACTATACCCAAAGAAATTATACACCGAAACTATACCCAAAGGAATTATACACCGAAACTATACCCAAAGGAGTTATACACCGAAACTATACCCAAAGGAGTTATACACCGAAACTATACCCAAGGGAATTATACACCAAAACTATACCCAAAGGAATTATACACCAAAACTATACCCAAAGGAATTATACACCGAAACTATACCCAAAGGAGTTATACACCGAAACTATACCCAAAGGAGTTATACACTAAAACTATACCCAAAGGAAGTAGACATCAAAATTATACCGAAAGGAATTATACATCAAAACTATACCGAAATCAATCAGACAACAAAACTATGCCGAAAGGAATTACACAACAAAACTATACCCAAAGGAAGTTTACACCAAAACTATACTCAAAGGAATTATACACAAAAACTATACCGAATGGAATTATACATCAAAACTATACCCAAAGGAATTATACACCAAAATTATACCCAAAGGAATTATACACCAAAATTATACCGAAAGGAATTATACATCAAAACTATACCCAAAGGAATTATACACCAAAACCATACCGAAAGGAATTATACATCAAAATTATACCCAAAGGAATTATACACCAAAACCATACCGAAAGGAATTATACACCAAAACTATACCGAAAGGAATTATACATCAAAATTATACCGAAAGAATGTTTACATCAAACTATACCCAAAGGAATTATACACAAAAACTATACCGAACGGAATTATACACCAAAACTATACCGAAAGGAATTACACACAAAAAATATACCCAAAGGAAGTTTACACCAAAACTATACCGAAAGGAATTATACATCAAAACTATACCGAAAGAATGTTTACACCAAAACTATACCCAACGGAATTATACACCAAAACTATACCGAAAGGAATTACACACAAAAAATATACCCAAAGGAAGTTTACACCAAAACTATACCGAAAGAATGTTTACATCAAAACTATACCCAAAGGAATTATACACCAAAACTATACCCAAAATAATTATACACCAAAACTATACACAAAGGAAGTTTACACCAAAACTATACTCAAAGGAATTATACACTAAAACTATACCCAAAGGAAGTTTACACCAAACTATACCTAAATGAATTATACACCAAAACTATACCCAAAGGAAGTTTACACCAAAACTATACCCAAATGAATTATACACTAAAACTATACCCAAAGGAAGTAGACATCAAAATTATACCGAAATCAATTAGACAACAAAACTATGCCGAAAGGAGATAGACAACAAAACTATGCCGAAAGGAGATAGACAACAAAACTATACCGAAATCAATTAGACAACAAAACTATGTCGAAAGGAGATAGACAACAAAACTATACCCAAAGGAATTTACACCAAAAGTATACCCAAAGGAATTATACACCAAAACTATACCCAAAGGAAGTTTACACCAAACTATACCCAAAGGAGTTATACACCAAAAACTATACCCAAAGGAAGTTTACACCAAAACTATACCCAAATGAATTATACACTAAAACTATACCCAAAGAAATTAGACATCAAAATTATACCGAAAGGAATTATACATCAAAACTACA